GTGATCCATGCTGTGGTTCATGCTGCTGCGGTCCAAAATGTTGTGTCACTAAAACTGTGTGCTGCTGCAGACCATGTTGCAAAGTCATCAGAAAGAAAACTGTCACCGTCAAAAGATCATGTGCCAAGGTTTGCTGTTGTTAAATTAACATTTTTGTTCTTTTTCTATGAACTCATTCAATATCTAACAACATTCATATTATTTTTTGTCTCTCCTATTTTCCACATAACCATCATATTGTTCATCAAAATCTCTTCTTTCTTTTTCTTATTTTGCTCTCCATTTTCATTTACTTCTTACACAGTTAGAAAGAAGATGTATTACATCATCTTCTTTGTTTTGTTCATCCATCTCTCACTTCTATGTGTACCTGGATAGAATGGGTATGAGTAGCTGGTTCTTTAAAATAAAATGACTTAGTGGATAAGGAAAATATTGTTCTTCTCACTTGATCAATTCAGTTACAAAATGGTCTTGTAATAACAAAGAAGAAAATTTATTTGTTTGTTCTTTATATATTTGGCTCTTGTAAGGGCCAGCGCAACCAAACTTTATACGACATATCATTTCGACTATAAAGAGAATTAGAACTTGGATAAGTTTACTTTCATCCTGTATAATAATAAATCTTGGGTGTGGGTAAAAATATGGATGAAAATAGTGAGTGAGAGTGAAAAGGATAGTATCCGCACTCATCCACACCCACCCACTCTCACATCAATTCTGTCACCCGAGCCCGAGAGGCTCGGTCAGGGCTCGGTACATCTCTACTCACATTTTAAAAATAAAATCTTATCAAGCAGAAGTGTTACCATAATACAATGGATACTTGGTACAAGTCAAATCAATATTGAAGGCCATGTTAGTCTGTTGCACATAATTTTAGAAATTTCTTAAAAACTATTAATGAAATAACAAGAGGTGAGTTACTAAGTTAAAAAACATTGATTCGATATAAAAAATTCCTGAATAAGACGAGATCATCATAGAAGTAATTTGAGATGTGTAGAAAAGATAATATTCTGTAGGTAAATCTTATCTTCTTCTCGTTCTTTTTGCTGATTCGCTTGTTTAAACGTTTCTTTTTATAAGTGTGTTAGTAACTGATGATGATATTTTTTCTTCAAAAGATTACTATACCGGGGAAGAGGAACAAGATAATATTCGCAATCTAATAAATATGATGAAAATAAACTTTCGTAGAATTAAAGTCTTTTATAGAATCGAAACTAACAACGAACATTTTTATTGTAAATTTACCATTAATGATGATATCAAATACATTCGTAAAAAAAACTGCTTGTTGGTTACTAAGCGGCGAAAAAACTAAACTTTCCAACAATCGGTTACTTCCAGTATAGCATACTAATGAAAAAAAGTGAATACTTTTTCCTTTATTTAAGATTTTGTGTGATTTTATTATTAAATAAATGAGTGTACTGAATACGAATGAAACAAAGATGTTGTAAGGTAGTCTCTAAATCGAAGTAATTTCTATTTCATTTCATGGTATAATTGATAGAAAAACTCAAGATATAGAAATTCCTGAATGATTGTAACGACGATAAAAAATAGTAAGATGAATATAATCAAATTTTTAATATAATTAATAGTTTAAAAAACATCATCAAATTGTTCTCTTTGTGATATTTATCCATCATAATGATGAGTTATGCTCCGTTTGTTTATATTTTTTCTATAAGAATTGTCAAATAAGAATAATTAATAGAAAGTTTCAATATTTACGCATGTTGCATTTGAAGAGTAATCAATTCTTATTCATTACTTTAATCTTTACGACAGATTTTTAAAATGTAATTCCGCATCTATGAGACGCACTATCAACAACAAAAAAATAAAGAGATTATTTTAACAAGAGAGAAAAACAAGTTTCTTTCTATTCAATTAAAAAAGGTAAATATTCATCGAATAACATTTTTATCCTAAATAAAATAGATCAAAGCAATAGTTTTTATAATACATTCTTATAAGTATTCACACGTTACTAGATCAGCAGCAGCGAGTGAGAATCTAATTAGACGTAGAACTCAATTTCATCGAAAATTATGTGAATATAAATGGATCTGTCTCGGATAGAGTCCCTCTAGATAATATTTAAGCTGATTAAAGTCTACCACTTTTTCACGCATTAGGATTAGATATACTTTACGTTAGAGTTAAGGTTATATCCATCGGGAGTAGAGATGTGTGGGACCAAAAAAATTCAAAGTTACAGGGACTGAGACCAACACTTGAATCTGGGGCTCTATAATGACCTTAACTATGTTGACCTTATTCGAGAAAAATAAAACAAAAAGTGCTAATCGTCGACTAAACAAATTTGAAAATGAGTATTAGAAAATTGTTTTAGAAATTCATTGAATAATTTTGGATTAACTGTCTATATGACGATATTGGACATGAGCAGGACTATGACCGAGACCTAAAAAGGTTGGTCTCGCAAATCTCTACTGAATTAGGAGACCATACTATTTACAATAGACATTACTTTTATCGAGGATGTAGCATATTCAGAACTATATTGATGATATATCATCAGACACATGTTACCTGAACTTTGAATTGAAATATTATGGAGAGTTAGTGGTTTGATAAGAGTCATTGAGTTTTATCAATGATGTTAGTTTTTTTTCTGATATTCTCCTTATTTCGAACGGACTGAGAAATGTATGATAATAAAGAGCGCACTTCAAATTACTCAAGCACATATTTTCTTCCGTCTTCATTTATCTTTAAAGATATAAAAACTAATCAAAAGTTTGAAAATTAAAATAATATTAGTCAATACTAAATCATGAGTAGATCGATAAATTGGTAGCAATTGACATTACAGATCATGACAGATATATCAATTCCGCTGACAACTCTTTTAGTGAGAGAACTACGTCATTACGACAGTATGCAATTAACATTGCTTGAATTGTGATATTTATTCTCATAGAAAAAAACTCTAAGTATTTTCTAATTTTATCCTTTATTTCAGTCTAATGAATATACTATTCCTATAAAACAATCTTTTTGATTATGATATGTTGAGATATATATATATGCATGCTGTCATTGTAATCTACTTTTGCATGAATTCATATAAGATGCGGACGTATAAACTAGAAGCGCATTAGAAAAAGTACGATCTTGTCAAATTTTCTGCCTTAGTATTGATTAGTATAGTGTTTTTACAAGACTAAATTGTTCGTTAGCATAAAATTTCGGTAAGTAACAGTTATATAAATCTAAGCAAACTAATGATTGAAATTCTATAGATATTTTCTTTAAAAAATGGGAAGTTTTTCTTCAACATTAACCAATATTCCATCATACTGGCCAAAAGTCTCGTTTTCACTATTCGTGTTCGGTCAAATCTTGTCTATTCCTTGTTATTTCTTCGTTGGTTACCATATTCTTTTTGAAAAATCTGCACGTAAAGCTCTTCATAATCATGTCATTATAATCTTATTGTTCTACAATTTTCTTGGAATTACATTTGATTTATCATTAACATTAAATTATGATCGTGTTGGATATGTATCACTATTTTCTCCTACTCTTTGTCGTTTTTGGCAATTAGTAGACGATGGAATATGGTATGGAGGTGTTTTCTTAATGATGTGGGCATCATTTGAAAGACATATTCTTGTATTTCATTCAAATTTTGTTCGAACTCCATCTCAACTCTTTCTCATTCATTACATTCCACTCATATTTTTCGCTTTGTATGCACCACTATTATATTTCTATTTAATTTTTCTTTATCCATGTGATGAGCATTTTGACAGTACACTTGTCCTTTGTGATGAGATGTGCTTTTATGCAACAATTCCGAATTGGTTTCTTGTATATGATTCATTCGTAGATTACACAATTCCCATACTTTTTATTGTTGTTTTCAGTATTTCTCTTTTATTACGATTTATTAGACAAAAACAACGTTTACAACAAGCAGTAACATGGCGTCAATGTCGAAAAATGACTATTCAGCTTACACTTGTATCTACAACTTATCTTATATTTGATCTTCCTTATGTTATCATTTTTCTTGTACAATCATGTGGTTACCCGGATTTTGGCAGTAATATTATCATGCCATATATTGCAAGTTTGACATATGTTCCTGCAATTGTTTTGCCTTATGCTACTCTATTAGCATTACCTGGATTAAAACAAAAATTTCGTAATTTGTTCTTTTGGAAAAGACATCAACGACAAATCGTTCCATTCACTACGCACGCTTAAATGCTTTATTCGTATTGAGTTTTTTTGATTAATATTGTGTATTCATTCATTAATAAAGAACAGATTTTCTGTCACTATTTCAAAATTAATTTTTTTTTATTTACATATTTGTATCTGTATAAAGAAGATCATTATTCATATAAACTAATATTTACGATATGGATGAGTGTAAGATGGGTGGGGTGGGAATAGAGTGAAAAGTTATTCATACCCGCACCCACACCCACACTCTCAATAAATCCCTTCGTATAATATCAAACAGGCATTATTTTTTTCTTTCATACATATGATGAAATTATCATTAAAATCTCGTTAAACCTTCTCTGATGGTTTTAATTTTCCATAGGAAGAAATCGGCGGTCATTGTTTTAAGATAAGTAAACTTCTTCTAGCCGCTTTGAAGGTGTGGCGTGGGTGAGTGGAGGTTGAAGAAGATCTGCACCTACATCCTCACCCACCTTCAAGACCATTATTAGTACTTTATACCTCAAACAGAAAAAGAATTAAAATATGAATGCCTTTTTTCTTAATACACTCTTTTAAGATCTTCTTTCAACTATAATTTAAGTTGTATATACGTCCACACCCTTAAATCGTGTATGAAAAACTTAAATAACTACTAACAACAAATCTTCACACCTGCCCTCAATATATAGTTTCATGACTTTTATTAAATTTATTTAATTAAATTCCTTCTTGATGTCTGTACTGTTTTATTATCATTATTTTGAACATATCCGGAAGATTTAAATGTTGAACTGATTCATTTCTGTAGAAAGTTTCTCAATTTTTAATTCTATAGGCCATTGACGATGCGTGGCTAATGAACATTGTTCATAAACAACTAATGCTCGTTTATAATAATCAAGTGCCGATTTACGTTGATTAAGATGTTCATAACATAAACCTATATTACTTAAACTTTCACCAATATCTTGATGATTGGGTGGTAGAACTTTTTCACGCATTAACAAACAGTTTAGTTCGTATGCTAGGGAACTTTCATACTGAAGTTGAGCTCGTTTTATACTACTTAATTTCATAAGAAATTTATCAATAGTTAACTGTCCTGGAATAGAATTGGCTTCATCAATTCTCAAGCATCGTTCATAAAATTCAATTGCACGATCATAAGATTGTTTCTTATAATAAATAAATGCAACCCAATTGAGACTATGAATTATTTGACTATAATCAGTCGAATAAAATTCTTTGAGTATATTTGCTGCTCGATAATAATAATTCAAAGATTCATCATAATCTCTCTGATTATATTTAATAATACCAAGACTCATAAGAGTAAATGGAATATCTGCTTTGATATGTCGAGAATTTTTCTCTTGTTTTCGTCGAAGATCACCCATTTGATTTAAACTCTCAATAATTTTGATAATGTTGGTAGGACAATGAATTTTTAGAATATTTAATGCTTTCTGTTCGAAATCAAATGCTTCATCAAATTTATTTTGACACATTAAAGCTTCACTAATATTGCTAAGATTATTAGCAATCCTTCTATAATTAGTTGGATTAGATTTTTCTGTAAACGTTATTGATTGTTGAGCGAAATCAACAGCTTCACTAAATTGATTTTGTCTGAGACATATATGACTAATTCTATTAAAACTGCTTCCTATGCAAGTATTACCTCGTGTAGTACCGTTTTCCTTTCGAGATATTAATACTTGTTCGTGATGTTTAATGAATTCATCATTTTCCAATATATTATCATAGTTTCTTAAAAATGAAATTGTTTCAACATGATTGAATGAATAATATTCTCTCAACAGGCTTATTGGTCGATGATGAAAATCAAGTGCTCCATCAAATCTCTGTTATCTAAAAAAAGCATCACCCATATTATTAAGAATGTCAGCGATACGGGCTAGATATGACGGATAATATTTTTCGAGTATGTTAAGAGCTTGTTGATGATAATCTAGAGCTTTATCATAATCATCTTTTTCATCTATTTGTGTCTCACCAATATTCTCCAAAACACCAACAGCCAATATGTGATTAGATAAATTAAGTTTTCTAAACATTAACAGCCCTTGATCACACATTTTTAATGATTTATCGTACTTTTTTCTGCCATACTCTAAGTTTCCCATATCGACCAAACTCGTCGCTATATCGATATGACCATTTGGATAAAATATTTTCTGCATTAGCATTGCCTGTTGAACAAAAGTGAAACTTTCATTGTACTTGTCTTGCACATAAAACATATAACTCATACAACTAAGAGTAAACGCAACCGATACATGGCCTAATGGGTAATATTTTTCATATATTGCTAAAGCTCGTTGATGACAATTAAGAGCTTCGTCATATCTTTTTTCCTTCGTTAAACATAACGGAAGCTGAGTTAAACTTGTACCAATATCTACATGAAATGAATCATAATATTTCTCTTGGATTAATAATACTTGTTGAAAAAAGACTAATGCTTCATCCTCTTTTTGTCTTATTCGAAAGATCAAACCAATATTGTATAAACTAATAGCAATATGTGGATGATAAGGAGAATAATATTTCATGTGAATTGCTAATGCTTTTTCATGAAAATTAAAGGATTCTTCTATTTGTCCTTGTAAATATAATATTTTACCAATATCAGAGAGTATAACAGCAGAATCCTTAATACGAACTGGTTCATTTTTCATCATTCGTTCATACGAACGATCATAATATATTCTTGATTCATTCCATTCTCCTTTCCAATGATGAGCTTGACCAAGACCATGTTCAACCCATGCTAAATCTTCCGTATGTGAATAATTATTTAATGAATATTCAAAATATGCCTGTGATTGATTCCATTGACTCATATCACAAATTAATTTACCAAAAATAATTGAAATACTTAAATCTGGAAATTGACGACGTGTATCATCAATATATTTTTGTTTAATTATTTGTCCATCATTAACTGAAATTAATTTAATAATCCATAATTGATCATTCTGTTGTTGAATATTATCTATTCGAAAAGTTGAATTTAAATTAAATAAAATCGTTTCTTGATTAGATAACTCAAGATCAGCAAAGATTGAATTTTTGTTCAATTCAATTTCAAAGAGCACTGAAATTTATTTTGTTGATGATGCATGGCAAGATGATCGATCAGTATTTGCTATTAGAAATTCTTTCATCATAATAAGTTTACCATTATGTTCTTATATTCGATTAAATTCACTACGAGATATGATCATTCTTCGATAAACAATTCGATCTTCTTTACCGAATTGAAGATTTTGTATTAGATCTCTGAGAAAATATCGTAACATATAAAGTTGTTTAATATCTTCGTTTTTCAGAGCTTTGTTAATAAATTCTCGAAGTGATGGATATTTCATAAACAATCCTACCGCTTCGTTTGGTTTATAATCATTAATCCATGGAAATTGTTCTAAGATACTCTGATCTACATTTTCAAACTGTTGATCAGATGATAAATGTAAGAGAACATCAGGAAAAAGTTGATGCCATAGAAAACTATTCGATTGTTTTGATAAATCTTTATTTTCATATTGAATTTGATCAAAAAAACAACATTGACTCATTTTCGTCTCAATTAAATTGATTTGCTTTGTAATTGCTGTAAGTAATAAATCAAATTTATCATAGATACCAATTATTTTTGAATCTTCAAATGATAAACATTCATTTGAATTGTTTGATACGTCAAATAAAAAAATATTTTTAATTTGATTAAAATTATTAAGTTGAGAAATAGATGAAGGAGAAATAATCAGAAATATTGTTTTATCGACAATTGATTTAATAAAATTAATACATAATTCGAGTTCACTATAAAATATAAATGAATCATTGATTTGTTGTTTTAGATCTTCTATATGATCATTGAATTCATTATCTGGATCAAAACAAATAATAATTATATTCTCTTCATCTTCAATATCAGTTTGTTGCTCATCACCATTCGTTTTATTTTCCATCATATGTAATGTAAAATTGAATATATATATATGTAAAAAGTTGGTTTTTTTCACGATAAATATTTCGTCATTTACCTTAGAAAAAAGAAATGACTTCTCTAATGAAGTGAGTATACCATGTGAAAAATATGAGTCATGCTTTTCATAGGTATATTCTGTTTTTTTCGATATTTTGCATCGTTGATTCGACCTATTACGTTTTCTTCCTTTTTTTTTAAATATTGTATTATTCAGATTTTTCTTCGATTCTTGTAGCAATGCTTCTATGAAATGAACATTCTCACAATTGAAAGATTTATTAAATAATTAAAAATACGTGCAAACTTTTTCTTATCAAGTATTTAAGAGTGATTAACAGCTGTTGAATCTAATGAAGATTATAAATTTAAAATAAAATATGTTGTCGTAAGCTAATTTCTTCGTTAAGGGATTCTTGCTTGTTTATGTTAACTAGTAAATTCTTCAATATAAATAAAGAAATGAGCTATTAAAATTCATTTGGTATCATGTGTATGAAGATAAATTGTAAATAAGTCGTTGCGTATATTACACCCATCCGCACCTACGTTCATCACCCTCAAAGTTATTTATCATATTTTGAATTGTAGAACTCGTATTATTTCTATCAACTCTTATTTTTTATTGATCAATATAAAAAAAGATTTTCTTATTTTTCAATAGAATACAAGTTATTCTTTCCCGATTATTTTCTATATGGGCGTCTTGCGTCACCGTTTTCTCCTCCCTTTCTTGTTTGTCCTTTTTCATGTTTTTGTTGAGTTGATGGACGCGCATTTTTTGTATGTTGTTTGCCACCACTACCACCTCTACCACATCCACAACCACGCGCTCTTTTCACTCGGTATCTAAAATATAAAGTAATCTGCCATAAGAAATGAAAAATAAGATGAAAGATAAGAACTATTCTATGCATTTGTAGAAAAATACTTACTTTAGTAGTATCAGTTGAATCTATAGGTTAAAATCTGACTACTCTTAACATACTTTCATGCATATACACGAACAGAAAATAATCTTACATGAAATAGCAAAAGTTAAGTTCTACGAGCATTACTTACTGTATAAACGAAGAGCGTTCGTCTGTTCCATCCATAGGTTTAACGTAAGTTGATTCAAACTGATTATTAATAGCAGAATCCAATAGTCCTAAGAAGATAAAAAAACGTTATCCACAAATGTTTGACACTACCGATCGCACTATTATTTTCAACACTGTGTGATATACGTTCTATTTCTTGTTCATCCACTTCTTCAGCAAAATCAGCAACAATTAGTATTGCAATAACCAACATCAATAACAAATATCGCATTATTTTACCGGTTGAGATCTATACAGCTTGAAAATAAAAGCGAAGTTACGATATGAAAATGTTATTTTTTGTTGCAATATAAATACAAATCTAATCAGTATAGGCCAATTGCGTAGAATTTTCTGCCATAGTTCATGTAGAACTGTAATAAGTCACTGACCTTTTCGCGAAATGTCGAACGTTGTTTTTCTTGTTTTTTTCATTTGTTTCTGATGAATCAATCGTTTGAATTTTGACATTTACACTATAATTGTATATTTTACTTTTATATGTTTTACTGTGCCGGTACTTTTTTGTCTATATCAAATGGAAGAGTAATACGTAATACTTTTTTGCAACGTTAATTTTGTCAGTACAAATATGTATTTATTGGCCTATTCAGGTAGTTCATTTACAATCAAAGATAATGCACAAAGCGAAAGGTGTACATCACAATAAAAATACAATATTAAATTAAGTAATACGATAGTGAATTTACACTGTTACATTTATGGGTTACTTATAAACAGTTGTAGATTCGGTCAATTGATTAGTATTAGCTTTGATAATAGAACTATTTATTTTCCCAATACGGTTTTGATATAAATGTTTGATAATTCATAGCATTATATATTTTCTCATTTTACTTGACATACACATATAAATATACAACGTCGAGTAATCTTTTGCAACTAAATGTTTAACAGCTTTCCATGGAATATCTGTTTTTACTCTATTGGTTATATGATCATAAAGAGAATTAATACTAAATGATATTTCAGATAGCACTATTATAATCAATTGTGAAATCAACGTACGATCAATTTGTTTGTGGGACACTTTTTATAAACGTAAAAACGATTCATTAGATCATTTTTTTCAATTTAAACGAATCAAACTGTTGTGCGAAAGGCATCAATGCCTACGCTTTAGTGACTTGAGTTTTTAGAATAATGAAGACTCATATTAAGGCGTCGTGGTACTCGTCGTTCTGACTGACATATTTTTGCTTTCTCCCTTATTACTGCTAAGTTTCTCTTTTTTCTCTATTCTTTTCTCTTTCGTCCTGTCTTCTTTTTTTTTCTTCATCTTTTTCCTTTTCTGTTTATTATTGCATATTTAGTCCCTCTTCCCCTAATCCACTAGCGCAGCACAATCTCAATAAAATATGCCTTTTTATTGTATGCTTATATTCCAGATAACAATGGGTATCAAGCAGCTGTGAATTCTTACGGTACCAATCGTTAGCACTCCTGAGTGTCACAATAAAGAAAGCAAATTAAAAAATAAAATCCGTGAGAAAATTTTCCATAAGGTACTTTCCAATATATTAATACGGTCGCGTTAAAATATGAAGGTTACGTTTTCACTGTTGTATTAAAAGACGCTCCGAGTTAATAAAATTGCTTATTTCGAAACGAATAAAACTATATTATTACAATACAGACAAGTCAAATTATAAATGGATCGATTTATTATCGTGTCTTTGATGCTTTTAATTCTTGGTTCGACACTATGCGAGGTAAAGTTTTTGTCTTGATCGAATATGTTAACATCTGAAATATTTTACTTTTCAAATGATTAGGGTGGTGAAGCTATGTGTGGTCAAATGACTGCTGCACATACGTGTGCATCAATGGATTGCGAACCATATATGTATGTCCGTGCTGATCAATACTATCCGTGTGACTGCTTTGAAATCGAAAAACTTCCACATAAAACAAAAAAATGGTATCATATTGAAACATCTAAAGGAAAGTATGGCTACGTACGCGATGAACACTGTTGGGCTGAAGTTCCAAAGTGCAAAAAATAATATCTACAATTTTGCCATCATTAACATGTGTTGTGGAGTTCTTTTTAAGAATTCTTTTATTCTATTTGTTAATGTGGATATTTTGTGCATGGTATTCTTTTTTTTTTCAAATAAAAAAAGCTATTTGACCATGCCTATACGATTTACACATGTTTTTAATAATTATATTGTATAAAACGAACAAAACGAGAATATCACTTAATATGGATATAAAGAACAATTCATATAGAAATTCTGACAATTTTTTCTAAGTCCAGCGTCCAATCTTTTTAACATTGAATAAAATAGAATATTATAGCAGCATAAAGCCAATTAAGTAGTTACACGTAGTTGCGCTGAATTTATTCAAGTATGTCATTTTATTATTTATTTTAGTAATACCAATATATAATTCAGACATAATAGAATAAAAATGAGTATCAAATGATTTTTTTTATAATTGCGACAAAGCACGTCACATCGAGAAAAAAAACTGCAAAAAATCATACATCTAATACTAAACTCTATCAATGCAACCAAACAATTGTCAATATTTACGAAGAGAGCTCTATGTTAAATCTTCCATTTAGCTATGTTATCATTATCGTGTAGACCCATATTTGAATAATGTCAAAGTTTTTACTTGTAATGTTTTTTCTATGGACATCTAATGATTTACAATTAATTTTTCATGATACCGATCAATTTGGATTTGATTGTTTGCATTATTTTTCAACTGAGTTTTTCTTCTTTTCTGAAGTAGTCAAATATTGTATTCGTCCCAAAAATGACACGAATTCGATAATGACTGAATTTTTTAATATATCTGATGATTATTTGACTTTCGATGAATTATACCGTTTGAATATAACATCACATGAAATTCTCATGTGGTCATCATCAATTAGTGGCGGCGCCATGGGTGGGTTGGGGTGAACTCAGTCCATCCTGAAATTTTTTTCAGATCTTAAAAAACCAATGATATTTTATCTGAGTGATGTCGCAACGTACCACGGCTAGTTCACCATAAAGATCTTTTTTTATTTTCTATTGGCTGATTGAACAGCTTAAAGTACCATAGTTAGTGTGTAAAGATTCAACAATGCAGAGTCCACCCTATTCTAAATTCCTGGCGCAGCCGCTAGCATTTTAGTACTCAAAGAACATCTTTATGGACCAAATTTCAGATCCAAAGTCACTCATTTACTACTGTTACTGATATAGTGTTACATGTCGAAAGAATAATGAAATGGCCACAACTCACTTCCGAAGCAATAAGGGTTCGAGCCAACTTAGGATATTTCACTACTCACCAGGATCTACTAGATATAAGTAGTCTGAGTCCAAAAGCCATTTATCATCTCGAGAGATTCCTTCGTTAGATTTAAAATATCTATTGAGCAAATATAAATTTTACTTAGAAAATAAATTGCTGCCAAAAAAATAATCATGATTGTCACTACCTATGCATCCGTTATCGAAATATATTCGATATTAATTTCTATAATTTTCTATCACTTTCATTGCATGCAACATAGTCATTTGATTTCACGTTTGGTGTCGTCTCCGATTTCATTACCTCCGAGATCTAGCGTGATGAGTGTCTAGATGAAAAAGTGCAAGTAAAGACATGTTATAGATGGAAAGAGAATGCTAATTACTGTATTATATCGTAGTCCATTAGCCAAATGATATGCTCCAACAGTCGCGATTCATTTATCTTCGAGGTTTAGTGTGGTGAGTGTCTAGGTGAAAAAGTGCAGATATAGTTATAGTACGTATGAAAGAAGAGAATTGTTGGTTGCTGCTATCTTCTATTAGATCAATGTAATGCATATTGGTGTGACTGAGCTGAAGACTGTATCGATATGAGTTTGAATGTTTCTAGGATTTAA